CGTTACATGCGCGCGAACTTGATGTATAATTTGCAAAATTTTGTGTTACTCACTCATTTATTGGAGGGCACTGTACTCCAAAGGAGAAAACGTTTGAAGTAGGTGAAAATATTCAATTTTTTTGCTAATTTTGAAAACATTTGCCGTTATTTTTTGATAAAGATATAGTGCATAATATAAATTATATTACAAGATGACATATGTAAAATGTAAAATCCATGAGGAGGGTCACGAGCCTTACTTAGTTAAGGCATTAATTGATACATCGTCAGCATTAGAAAAAGCTTGGTCAATAAACTTGGAATAAAATATAGCGACCCACCAAAATATATTAAAAGGAGAATGAAGGGTGCTGTAGGTGTCGTGGAAGCCTTGAATTATCTTTTCGATTTAAGGGTAAGGATAATTTAGTATCTAAGAAAATACGATTAAACATCTTTATTATAAGTCGAGGACCTCAACATTTCGTGCATTATAATATATACATAATTTTCGCAAGGTGACTTAGTTGCCCTATCTTCAATGATATAACAGCTCTATTCTGAACTCGAAAGCGGAATTCTCCGTTAAACATGTGAGTATTTGTAATTAAAGACTATAATTTTTATCAGGATGTGTCGTGGAGTTATTTCTTATACTGTGCCGACAAGCCTCTTCTTGCAGGTCCAAGATCTTTAATGTATGGTCATGGTTCGATAAATTAACCGTGAGCAGTCTTTGAGCTATTACGGCTTGTTCGCCATTCTCAGATACAACGGCCTTTAACGCGTTGAATAGGGCTTTCCCTGCCTGTTTCTTTTAAATGTACGTAAATTCGGTCTTTCTGAAAAACCTAGTAACATTAAAACCGGTTGATAAAATTTTTTTTAGCACTTTGATATAATCATTCAGATAAATGGTAAAACAAATGTTAATATTGCGAATTAACTCGATAGCGACTAATATACTGTGTATACAAACCATGATGTTGATCCGAAAGGACATAATATCAAAGAATTAGTAAAAGTTTTTAAATAATGTTTCTGCTTTCTACAGCCCTAACCCAACCCAAAACTTTTTCCAGATAATATAAAGTCGCTAAATAAAAGTCAAGGACCATAGAAGATCGAGGTCCCAACCATGCAAGTCTTGCTATGCTAGCCGTTTCGCTTCCATACGCAGACGCAGACGATTTTCCTCGGTTTTACAGGACGGGAAACGCTGGGTTTGCAAAAAACACAATGTAAAAGCCATACTTAACTTCTCAATCAATTTACGTAATTAAATGATGGTCGGTTGTTTCGCACAGGGCATGTCCCCAAGCGGTACCTTTTCCGAAATCATTTCCAAAGACACATATAGTCACACATTAACTTATGATTGACTTTTTTTTGTATGTATGGAATGTCACAAAACACCTGATATGAATATAACTAAATTTTACGCGACAACATTCTTTTTCTAACAACTTTTCGTTTGCGACGAAATAGACGTTTTCTCGAGAAGAATCTTACAATAAACTTTTACTCGGCAAGTAGTAATAGTAGTAGCAGCGAGTGTGATGCATATCTTGGGAGAGAGTTTTGATAATATTGACGTTTTTTGCAGAGTTAGACAAAAGCAGTGAACTTTTTTTCACAGCTAACAGTTTCCACTATCTATTACAGCAACCGTTCTCGAGAGATGACAGATGAAAGATTCCGTAAGTATGTATATATTAATATATTAATATGTGAGGGCTAAGACGGGGGGGGGTATAAACTCTGGGACTATTCTGTTGATATGTTTCTAATATTCCTTCATTCCTTTACTCCACTTCGAAACAACTGGTATTGAATAATAGGTAATATACTTGTATATTAATATAGTTGGGTAGAGGCAATTGCGGAATCTGTTCTTAGCGTTAGATATATAGTTTCTCTTCACGTTTCAGTTTGGGTTGATAGTTGTAATTTGTAATATATAGGTAATGTATGAATATTTGAATATGGTCGGGCTAGGGAGAGCGAGTATGCAACATATTGATGGCAGTGTCAAATTCTGCCAAATAAAATAAGCCATCGGAACGGTCTCTACTGTAACAACAATATTACATTTCAATTGTTAATTGATCTTTTTATTTTCATCATAAAACGTGCTGTCAGAAAACGCAACCACACACTTAATGATAAACTAGTTCAGAACGAATAATTTATTGTAATTGGCTTCTTATTAATATTAATATGACTGTGCTAATATTTACTAATACCAATCTAAGGGCAGACTGAACTTTCAGTAATGAATACGAGGACTAGTATATAGTAGTTGTTATACTCACCTGTTCATATTCAGAGCGTCCAGTCGCCTTATTTGAACTATGTTTTCGGGGTTCCTCCAGATCATCCCACACATCAATCAACTTCATTGACACGTCACCCAATGTAAAAAATCAGCAAAACAATATATGCAAAGATTTATAATTGAATACAAAAGTTAGCATTTCTATTCACCCTAATAGTTAAGATATGACTCACAAAATCCCGAACGCTATCTCTCCCACACGGTTCCAGAGGAATGTCAAAGTTTAGGAGGGGGAAGTCTTTGAGAACTACCCCCAGAAAACTATCAAGTCCTGCAAATGTACGTGGGGGGTTCAAAAAGTTTTGACACAGTGTACATATTTCAGCAACCACAGATCGTCTCAGCTTTATAAATATTTATATTAAAGCTTGAGTCATACTTGATTAAAC